AAGGCAAAACACTCCATAACATAGGCTTCAGCGGTGTCTGTGAATTCTCCAATAAGGGAAACAAGCAAAAGTAAATAAATGGAGTGATAAACTTTAAAACTGCTAAAGAAACTCCTTAAAAAGACCTTACCAGGGTCCTCCCTGGTGGCGCAGCGGGTTAAAGCACTGCAGTGAGAAACTAAAGCCACTTCCGCATGAGTTCAATCCCCGCCTGCCCCGGAGGTGACCACATGGCGTGGCAGACCTCTCCTGACCCGCCCGCTGCTCCCCTCAGCAGTGTACTTCATCGATCTGCCTGTTATGCTTCCCGCTCTGTCTCTAGTGAATCCTCTCACCCTCCGCATCTCTGGCCTGTACCCCAGTTCTGTATGAATAAATAAATATTTAAAAAAAAAAAAAAGACCTTACCAAATGGGTAAAGATAAGTACATCATCCATATGACAAAGGGCTAATATCCAATATCTATAAGCAATTTATACAACAGAAAAAAATACCAATCAAAATAGGCAGAAAAACCAAATATTTCTCTGAAGACATAGATATCCAACAGACAGGAACTGCTATGGTAAATAGTATTGCAATGAATTTAGGATTGCATATGTCTCCATATTAATGTATTTGCTGAGTCAGCAGACTATTAATGTTCTGAAAAATTTATAGTTTTAAGTAGTGGTGATCATTACTTATTAAGGGAATACAAATCAAAACTGCATCAGATACCACCTTATATGTTTGAAAATAGACCATTATCAAAAAGACCAGAAATGAGTTGGAGCAGTGTCGAGAGAAAGGAACCCTCGTATACTGTTGGTAGGAATACAGAGTGGTCCAGTTTCTATGAAAATCAGTATAGAGTTTCTTCAGAACATTAAAAATAGGCTTCTGATTCATATTAAATAATATGAAGTCACATATCCTAAATTCATTGCAATACCATTTACCATAGCAGTTAGGAAAAGAGTGAAGTAACCAAGGACAGAGGATTAAGAACTTGCAGCATACTTGGTATACTGCTCAGTTATTAAAAGAAAGAAAAAAAAAAACTTGCCATTTTGGACAACATGGAACTGGACATTTTAAATCATAATAAGAAATATGTGTTGAATGATTTTATTGATACGTGCAATATAGGAAAACAACAGGAACAGACAATAAATCACTATATTCTCACTATAGAATTGTAGGTATCAACTGGCAAAGGAAAAGGTGGAGAATAAAGGGGGAGGAAGCCCTATGGAAGATGGCAGAGGGTCATTTCTTTGTTTACATCTGGTGTGGTAAATCTGAGTGGGTGTAAGTCTATCCCTACATTATATACATTTTAAAATTGGGGGAAAATGACCATTGTATACACATTACTATTAACATATTTTTGTGTTGGATATTCTACTTGATGGATACCCAAGGTATCTCCAAACAGCCAGTTCTGATAATTGCCATATGAATTACGAATATATGTGTGTGCGTGTGTGTTTACATGAGATTACAGACATATGCATTAACTTTTTTAGGTCATAATCTTTAAACTTAAAAATGGAAAGTTTAAAATAAGATGTGATTTGATATGTAGAAGATGTGAACCCACAGATTAAAGTGGTCCCAGTCCTGACATTTGCAGCCACTCCACAGAAAGAAGTCTTAAGTGGTCTGAAAACTAGCTCAAAACTTGATTTAGATTAGATGAATCGTGGCTATAGATATTTAGCTTTAGGATTTTTTTTTTTTTTAAATCAACTTCCATTCTTCTGGATATTTAAAGTGCAGTATCCTGGAGCAACATGCCACTATATAATTGTCAATTCCCAATGTGCAGTTCTTTGGAAGGAGAGGAATGCAGCAATTTAGAAGTTGCTTTATTACTCCCATAATCTTTAGAGGATATTTCCATTCAAAATTGAAATTGTTTCTACTTTCCAGTGAGTTGCTCGTTAATGAACAAAGGCAGGGATTGGTTGACTTTTTTTAAACAAAGGAAAGTGTGTATAGCATATATTATGTGTTTAAACTTGTATTTTAAATTTCTTGTATGGATTTATTAGTTTTTAAAGAAACTGGCTCCAAGAATCTAAAAAGGTGAGTTTCTGGTCCTCTTGGGAAGTTGCACAATGAAGCAAGACAGTAGCTACAGTTTGACATATTAACATTTGTCCGTGAATTCTTTTTTTTAATTAGCATATTATTACACTTAACATAATTTGACCTCCAGATCAAGAGGTGATTATTCTTTGTCATTCCAGTTTATTTGCTGCTGCAAGATACACAAGACTAGAACTTGTAGACTTGGCCCATTCTTTTTACCAGGGGACACCCAATAACGTTGCTGTTCAAGCTTTACAACTTATAAAAGCTAAATATATGCTCTAGTAAAGATTTCACCGATCTACTTTATCCATAAGATTTTTTATTATATCTTCAAAGGACAGGTTTATTAGGAAGAAATGAGAAAAAAGAGAGGCAGGCACCTGTGTGGTGACAGGGAGCAATCTTATGCCTCCATATGATTGATGCGGCCCCTCTTTTCCTCAAAGTTGCTGAGGAAGGCAGCTGCCAAGCCCAGGCCTTCAACACCATCTCCCACTCAAGGCAGGAGGAGCACCTGACTTCAGCAACCCCAACCTCTAGCCACACTCTGATGGCTCCTGTAACTGCAACTCTACCTCATTTCATTGATGGAGATAGGAAGTGTAGCTGGCGAGGAGAGTACCAAAGGTTGAAGGAAAGTAAGAGCATGAGCAGCTTTACTTACTGCACAAAGGAAGAATGCCTTTAAAGAATTATGTGTGTTTGGGCAGTGTGAAGGAGAGGCGAAAACAACCTCTGAACTGACCAGTACCCACAGTAGGACTGTCACCAACACCCCACAGAAAGGCTGAAGAGGATGCTAAAGGAGATAAAACTAAGGTGAAAGGCAAAGATCCCTGAGGTTATTTACTAAGCCAACTCCAAAGCTGGACCCCAAGCCAAAGCCCCTGTAGAGAAAGAGAAGGAACCCAAAGGGGAAAAAAAAGGGGGGGGGGTGCTAAAATTGATGCTTGCAAAACTAATGACTGTATACAGTTTGAAATACTGTTTTTCTCTTTGACATTCCAGTTTATTTGCTGCTACAAGGTACTTTTTTTTACTTTTAAAAGAAATGAATTTTTTTTTGAAGAAGGTCTTGTGTCATTAGTAATGTCCCTGAAGCTTGATTGAAGATGGGGACATGGAGAACTTTACCCTTTTGTAGTTGAGATAATTTCTCTTGGTTCCCAGAAGGAAGGATTCCTTGTTTCTGATACATTAGCCACTTTGGCACAGATGCCTTGTAGGAAACAACTAAAATTCATTTTGATGTTCTCTTTTCCTCCGTATCTTCACCATAGACTTTGCCCTTCTTGAACCCAGAGGACCTGTTGATACCTGACTACAAAGAAATAGAATGTTGGTCAAACTCACTTTATCATAACACCATTGAGATGGCATCCAACAAAAAAGCAGCAATTCTTTTTTTTAGATTGCAAATCACTGGTTTGACAACTATGTCATAACCATTTCATTCCCTAAAATTGGGCTGCCTAGTGAAGTTGTGACAATAACATGGTAAATGTGAAATATCAACCTTCACGCTAAACTTTACCTGTTCAAAGCATCAAATGAAGACTTCATTGGATTTTACAGTGGCTTTCTAATTTGGAGAGACCAAAAAGGGGAATGTGAAAATTGTTGTATTCTGTTAATGATTGTCTGCCCATATCCTGCCTGAAATACCATGATTATTTATGAAAACTATGTTCAATAAAGCCAGATAGTTTGGCCTGGAAAAATAACAACTAAAAGATTTTTGTAGGTATCTACAGTAAAAGATAACACATTGAAGAAAAATCATTTCATAGGTGGAGTTAACAATGGCGAGGAGCAAATTAAATCTCTACAGAACAGCTTCTGTTTGCCCTAAGGGAAACATAAGCCTCTCTCTAACCTGGATTTCGGCAATATGTTGACTCTTGGATTGCATAATCTAAATCTAGTGTAAGAATTTCTGGTGCACAGCAAACGGGGACAGGAGAGGGAACGCTCTGGTCACAAAACCACCCACCAAGCTTAATCCATTACACATTAGTTCAGATGAAAAATAATGGAAGGATATCTCTGAAAGGGGCTTTATCATTCTTTTGTTTTTTTAAAAGATGTGCTAATTTATGCATGCAGAACTGGGGTACAGGCAGGAGGTGCAGGGGCAGTGAGAGGATTCACCAGAGACAGAGTGGGGAGCAGAACAGGCAGATAGATGAGCAGAGCAGCGGGTGAGACAGGAGAGGTCTGCCGCGCCACGTGGATCACGTGGGTGGGGGGAATTCATCGCGCACTGAAGTGGCTGCAGTCAGTTTGCAGTGCTGTATCCTTACCCATTGCACCACCAGGGAGGGCCCTCTATTTAATCATTTTTCTAAAGATTTATTTATTTATGCAAACAAGAGCCGAGGTGTAGTCTATAGGGGGGGGTGGGAATTCACCAGAGACAAAATGGGGAGCAGAACAGGCAGATCAACTGAAATACACTGCTGAGGGGAGCGGTGGTTGAGACAGGAGAGGTCTGCTGCGCCACGTGGGTTTCACCTCCCTGGCCGAGAATCAGACTCGTGCTGCAGTGGTTTCACACTGCTGAGACTTAACCGCAGGCGCCACCAGGGAAGCTGGACTGTACCTTAAAAGCCAGAGCTCCCTACAGGACACACGGACCCCGTTTCTCGCTGTAGAGCCCGCCCTTTCCGCTGCAGTTCCGGTACCGCCCCCGCGAGGCTCCGCGCCAGCAGCCTGAAAGCATCGAGCATGCGCCGTAGGCCAGTCCAGTGCCGCGTGGGAAAGGTGGGGCTTGCCTTCTTGTGCGTCATCATCAGAGCGACTTGAGAAGGTAGTAGCGTGACCTGAAAGGTCAAGTGGGGCTACGGGCTGCGACGCACCCGCCTTTGCCCTGGGGCCCTGGAGCATGCGCGTGGCGCCTTCCGCTGAGCGACGCATTCTTCGGCTGCGGGAGGCGGATGACCTCGCTTCTGCCCTGGAGGGGCCATGCTTCGCCGGCTGGGCACTAGGTGGCTGCGGCCACTGCCTGCACTGCAACTCGAGGCACGGGGCCCCCTGCTTAAGGTGGTCCCAACCGGCAGCTTAAAGCGTTCCGTTTTGCCGGCGTGGGCAGTGGCCTCAGTCTCTGCAGCCGGCCCTGGCGGCGCGGGCAGCTGGTATGAAGCCCTGGCCGCGTCGGCGCCGGTGCAGGGCGCGGAGGTGGTGCTGCTTGGTGCACACGGGGCCACAAGCCTGCCCTGGTGGGGGACCATCCTTCTCACCACCGTGGCGCTGCGCGGTGCCGTCACCCTGCCCCTGGCCGCCTACCAGCACTACATCCTGGCTAAGGTGAGAGGCGCCCAGCCGCGCGCTAACCGCGCTTCCGCCTCGGTAGGAAGCAGCGGGCGCGTCTGCCGAGACTAACCTCCCGGGTACTTCCGGAGGACTTAGTGTTCGGTGATCATGTACTTGGAGATGATTAAGTTATTTAAATATAATTTTAAGATATTTAAGTACTAAGATATTGAACTGGCCTTGGGAACATGAAATAAGATCTTCGTTGACTCTGCTGAATTTGTACTCAAAGCAGAACTGAAACCTGTGAAAGTACCGTTTTTAAAGTTGTTGACAGCCTGTATGACCAAAAAGTGCAGCTCATCTACCTTACTAGAAGAAAACTAAGTTCGTTTGGAAACGTTTTTTTCTCATTTAGGCTTTATTACTCGCGCCCTTCAGTGTTTTTATATGGAATCAGCACAGTAATCCTTCCTCTCCTGTTTCCCAATGTTATGAGAGCAGATCAGGTGATATGGATTAAGGAGCTTTGAAAATAAAAGTATTTTTTTGAACACGAGACTTACAAAATAATCACTTCCGTGTTTTCAGATTATCTTTGGGTTAAAAGGAAACGGTAAGGGAGTTGGTACCGTGAAAGCAGTGGGCTTTCCAGAAAGAACACGGCAGAAATAAATGCGATTTTTAAAATTATGTGTGTGGCTCTGTCTTAGAGGGCATTAAAAGCAAACTGAAGTTCTGTCTTTCCCATTTAACATTACTGAAAAATTCGGGGGTGGAGCATTAAAGCTCATGGTGTAATTCTCCCTTAAACTTTAAAATAACTTTCTGAAGCAGATGCTGTTACACGTTTCACATACAAGGAATAGCGTTTATTTAGAGGTTAAATAACTTGCTAAGGATAACACAGGTAAGAGTACAAGCTGGAATTTGAATATGGTTGTTTGTTACTGAAGGTCAAGCAAATTAATTTGCTTACACTTAAGTTTTCTTAATATCAAAGAACACAATTTTAACTGATTTGAGGGAATAGAGCATAAAATTACATGAGTGATTATAAATTAATCCTTTATGTGCTCATACCAAATTCCACTTTTTCTTTAGCTAGGTGGAAAATTTGCAGCCAGAAATAAAAAACATTGCCAAACACCTTAACCAAGAAGTTGCAATTCGTGCAAATCAGTTAGGTTGGTCCAAAAAAGTTGCCAGGTAAGCTAATTTTATGTATATAAGATTGTAAATAAATATTTATAATGTGTAAGCATTAGTGTTCACTGTAAACTTGGTATGTAAATAATAGCTTTAGCAGCAAAGTAATTCTTATACACGAATATTTTAATAAATTTATGTGGCATGATAATTTTATATACTAGACTAAAAGGAAATTGAGAAAGAAAAATGAGAGCAAGTTCCATATTCTTAAAGGACCCTTGCTCCCTGAAAAGGCACCTGTAGTCGAATGATAGTGTATTAAATAAGTACTGTAAAAAAGCAATGTATAAGAATTAGGTCATTATGCAAAGTCAGGGGAAGCTTTACAAAGTGAAGATACTGTGCCAGTCTGTTGGGATTTTGTCAACAAATGATACAGTTATTGGTAAACTTGACCTTTGCAACTGGGTAGTCAGGGTGCTGTTTGTCCACTATGCCTGCCTGGTCTCTTAGAAAGCCCTTGCCGCAGGGTGCTGACTATTATATGTGCATCCGTTGGACCTTGTAAGTCCTGCCTCAGTCATTCTACATGGTTAGTTCCTTAGTGAGTTTCTTAAATTCTGATCCTTGCTAGGCCAACAAGTGTTCAGAATTGAAGCAATGAGACAAATGAGGACTTTGTTGTATGAACATGTACAATAATAATGGTTATCCATTTTTTAAAAGATTCACTTGTTCATACAAGAAATGGGGTATAGGCCAGAGATATGGGGGTTGAGAGGATTCACTGGAGACTGAGTGGGGAGCCGAACAGGCAAATCTACTGAAATACACTGCTGAGAGGAGCAGTGGGCAAGACTGGCCAGGGATCACACTAAGGCCACAGTGACTAGTGATATCTTGATAGTGCTGTGTTTTTAACCCCTACACCACCAGGGAGGCCCAGCACAGGTTTATTAGGAAAAGGAGAAAGAAAAAGGCACCTGCATAGTCACAGGTGGGCAGGGGAAAGCAGCTACCCATTTATTTTTAACTGTATAGGTGTAAATTTGCCAAATATCTTCAATGTGAAATTTTGTGCCTCTACATTTAGTGTTTTTTTAAGACATGACACACAAAAATCTAATGATAGCATGATGGCTTGATATAAAACAAGAAATCGGGGCACCTATAATTAAGTTTTAGTTCTCAGAAAACTACAACTCTAGGTCAAACCCACTAGATTAATAGCCACTCACCTGGGTTATAAATGCAGCCTTGACAATCCTATGGCACCTCGCTTAACCAGCCTGGCATGATAGGTGTCCAGATACATCTTTACACACCAGAGAGACTTCCCAGGAAGATGTCTGAGAGTTTCCTGCATTTTTTGATGGTCTTGAAAGATGAAAGAGACTTTGTTAGATAGACAGCCAGGAAAGTGAGGTGCATGTCCTGATATGGCAGTACAATTTGTTCAGTGTTGTAAGGCATTTGGGAATGTCTATATTCTCTCCTAATTCAGGACATTATGATTTTATTGAATTTAACAAGCTTATTGAATATCTGTGTAACATAGGCAATTAAGAAACTTAAAGATAAGTAAGGTTCACTTAGAAGACTTAGTCTAGAAAGTAGGGAATTAAGACAGGAACAGGAGTAACATAGCAAAGAAACATTAAGAAAATCATCATGAAAGAGTTGATCTATGAATGGAGACCATTTGACAGGCCAAAAGCAAAAGGAAATTGCTACAAAAGGAATGTAGTCATAGGTCAAGTAACACCAGAGCTTAGGTGGAATTGAGGGGTTTGAGAAAAATAAGCTTTTAACGTTAGTACTTCTAATATAAATTATATTCTTACCATTTCAGTAGTAAAATTTTCTGTTGAAAACTGATTGGCAAAATCCATTAGAGACAGTGCCTGTACTCTGACAATGTCAGTTTATCAAATTGTTACCTAATTTGTATACATTGTAGAGGATTTTTAACAAAAGACATTTTATTTGCCATTTGTTTAGTTAGGCCTTTATAACTAACGACCAGAAACCTCTTACAGATCATTTAGCAAATATGCACAATGTGGGTGTATTTGTGCTAGTGTATAAGCGGTGTTAACAGTCACCTGATATTTTCTCCTTTCCCATTTTTTCTCTTCCCTGAACCAGGCTCACTTATCTGAAGAACATGCAGAGGCTTGTGTCAGAGCTGTATGTTCGGGATAACTGCCACCCTTTCAAAGCCACTGTGTTGGTCTGGATTCAGCTTCCAATGTGGATCTTCATGTCTATTGCTCTCCGGAATTTCAGCACAGGGGCAGCACATTCAGAAGGTACTACTATAAAAGTCTGTTTTTCTCAAATAACTTCTCTGATTTTGCCTCTGTGCTCCTACAAAGGACACATAAGCTTCATAATTAGAATGCTTTTATCATCTTGTTTACCAGAGTGTAAAATTTAAAATGTTAAGTATAAACAAGCTATTGAGAAAACAAATGATTCTAGGGGAGACTTTAGTATTACAGTTTCTTGAAAATCATAAAAAAATTAGTTCAGGGCCCTCCCTGGTGGTACAGCAGGTTGGAGTGCTGCACTGTGAAGCTAAACTGAGCAGTGACGGCTTCAGTGTGAGTTCGATCCTACCTCTGAGGTGATCCACATGGCACAGCAGACCTCTCCTGCTTGGCAGCTGCTCCCCTCAGCAGTATGCTTTCAGTCTACCTGTTCTGCTCCCCACTCTGTTTCTAGTGAATCCTCTCTCCATCCCTGCACCTCTGGCTGTACTCCATTTCTGTCTGCATAAATAAATCAACCTTTAAAAAAGAATTAGTGCTGGTCCCTCTCTGGTGGCGCAGCGGGTTAAAGCACTGCACTAAGAAGCTTAAGCCACTTCTGCATGAGTTCGATCCCCGCCTGCCCCAGAGTAGCTCCACATGGCGCGGCAGACCTCTCCTGACCCTCCCGCTGCTCCCCTCAGCAGTGTACTTCATCAATCTGCCTGTTCTGTACCCCACTCTGTCCCTGGTGAATCCTCTCACCCTCCGCATCTCCGGCCTGTACCCCAGTTCTGTATGAATAAATAAATCAATCTTTAAAAAAAAAAAAAGAATTAGTGCTATAATTCCAGAATTTCTCCATGTGTGAAATTAAAAGACCAGAAAAGTTTTCATAATTATAGATGTCAACATTAATTTAAAAATTATATAAATGAAATAATTGTTTTACTTTCTTATAAAGGCATTTTTTTTTTTAAGATTATTTATGCATACAAGAGCGGGGTATAGTCCAGAGGTGCAAGGATTCACCAGAGACAGAGTGGGGAAAAGAACAGGCAGATTGATGAAATACACTGCTGGGGGGAGCACTGGGCAGGTCAGGAGAGGTCTGCTGAGCCATTTGTGTCAGCTCCCTGACTGGGGATCAAACTCATGCCACAGTGGCTGGAGAAAGCTTTATAATAGTGCTGAGACTTAGCCCCTTTTGCTACGTGGGAGGCCCCTCTTATAAAGGCATTTTTTAAAAAAGATTTATTTGTTTATGCTTACAGAACTGGGGTACAGACCAGAGGTGCAGTAGGTGAGAGGATTCACCAGAGACAGTGAAAAGTGGAACAGGCAGATCTACTGAAACATACTGCTGAGTGGATCAGTGGGCAAGTCAGGAGAGGTCTGCCACGCCATGTGGGTCAGCTCCTTGGCTGGGGAGCGAACTCATGCTGTGGTGCTTTGGAGAACTTCATACTGTGGTGCTTTAACCTGTTGTGCCACCAGGGAGAGCCCTATAAAGGCATTTCTAACCACAAAGTAATCTAAATGGAATTGAAAGAACATCTGTGGACAGATTTTTTAAAGATGTATTTATTTATGCATTCAAGAACTGGGGTACAGGCTAGAGGTGTGGGGGGTGAGAGGACTCATCAGAGACAGAGTGGAGAACAGAACAGGTGGATTGAAATACACTGCTGAGGCGAGCAGTGGGTGGGAGGGACAGGAGAGGTCTGCTACACCATGTGGGTCACCTTCCTGGCTGGGGATTGAACTTGTGCTGCAGTGGCTGCAGACAGACTCACAGTGCTGTGTCCCAACCCCTTGTACCACCAAAAAGGGTACTGGACAAATAAATATTTAAATTTAAGTTTGTAAAGATTATTGCTGCATGTCTTTATGCTCTGTATGTATTTGCTTTAGAAAGCCTCTTTTCTGAGAATTTCTAGAGTGAAAATAGTCTAATAAAACATATCTAAATCTTTAGTATAAGGGACATCTTATGGAAATTGTCAGATTGCTAATGTATATTTCCCTCTACTACTTTTAGAACTTACTTTTACTTATAAACTGTTTCAACAGGTTTTTCCACTCAAGAGCAGTTAGCTACCGGTGGAGTCCTTTGGTTCCCTGATCTTACTGCACAGGATTCCACTTGGATTCTACCTGTCTCCGTTGGTGTCATTAATTTATTAATAGTGGAGGTCAGTGATGTCATGTGAGATTTCTTTGCATTTAATTTGTTTGGGTTTTTGTTACTGCTCTTCTAACTTCAAATACAAATGTGCTTGTGGTGGTAGTAATAACTCTGAGCTACAATTAAGATCCCTTGGTGTTTCTGGTCCCAGGTCATTGATTGATGTTATCTACTGGTGATATCAGATAATCTGTCGATCTGTCTGAAGCCAGTTCCTTAAGTTCTTAAATGTTTATAATTAAAATAAGTTAGCTGAATTAGAATACTTCAAAAGTCTTTTCAATTTCAAAATCATGTGTTTCTAGTAAGTAAATTTTGTAATTTGCTCTTGCAGGCAGGGAACATAGTACATCACTGCCATCTTGTACTATATGAGCTTAGTAAAATCACAGTAGAAAAAAACATACATATAAAATGTGACCTCCTCACTGTGTCTCCATCCCATGTCTACTTCTTTATTCAACAGGGTAGGGGAACACATGCCTATAATTTCATAAGGAGCTGTTCTCAGACGATGAATAGAAAGTAGACTCTGAGCTGGAAGAATCTTAGAAATGACCAGCCTCAGTTGAGTTCTCACAGAACTCATGTCCTCTTTTGGGGAAATCTAACATATCCTTTATTTTTTCAGACAAGAAAAATGAAGATGACAGTCATTGTGTTCACTGACAGTTTCTAGAGGAAACACTCCATCCTTGGTTTAAATGTATTTCCCTAAGCACTCAGTACAGTCCTGTGAACAGGGTTGGTGCTTAGTGAGTGTTAGAAAGATGTAAGGGATAAACACAAGGTTCTAATGAATTAATGTCAATCGTATAATCTTTCGTATATGCCCTAACAAGCCAGTGGTGTAATAAAATCTTATTCTTACACCATGTGCCAAGCACTATTATATGCAATTTACATAAATTAACTCATTTAAGTCTTAATCCTGTGCTGTATATACTATTATTATACCCAATTAAAGGTAGAGAAAGTGAGGCCCAGGAAAGTTTAGTAACTTGTGCAGTTACATAACCACCAGGGCATGGCTCATGTTAACCTAGCTTGGGCGTAGAGTCGGAGCTCACATCCGTTATGCTATGTTGCCTCTTACATCAGTAATTCATAAATTATAGCTGCTTTTCATAGCCTTAGTTCGTTCTCTTATGTCATGTAGCCAGATCATAAGCCTATAAAATAGCTATTAAGTTTCTTCTTTATGCCAGCCACTGTATTTATGAACCAAAACACAAGGGTAAAGTTTAATATGTAGTACTTATCTTGTCTTGAAGGGGCTTTTCGTTTTATGGACAATCTTTAAAATATGCTTATTAGTAAAAATTAAGCTTTGATTGTGTGTTATATGGCTGAATTTCTTTATTGCTATTAATTCAAATTCTATTTAAGAGTTGTTCAGTTTTTAGAAAGATAGATGATCAAACATATTTTTCAGTGTTCGGTATTTATTTATTTATTTATTTTTGCTTTTCTTAAAATATAAGTGGGTGCCAAAGATCACTTTGTATTTTAAATCATGGATTATTTAATGTTTTAGTAATCATTCTATATGTATGTATTCTATCCCTTCAGATTTTTGCTTTGCAAAGGATTGGAATGTCTCATTTTCAGACCTATATTACATATTTTCTTCGTGCAATATCAGTGCTGATGATTCCAATTGCTGCAACAGTACCTTCGGTAAGTAAATATCAGTATGTGTCTAACATGCACTAAATTCTTCTAGCCTTTAGCTTAATTATATGGGATCCCTGCTTCTTCTGTTCAGCTTTTACTTATTACTCAGTTCCTTACTGGATTTTGAGTTTCTGTTGTGACTAATTTACTATCTTCATCACCATGTGACACTACAATACTGTTTCTATAGTAGCCACACCAGTTTACACTCCTACCAACAGTGCACAAAGGTTTCTTTTTCTCTACATTCTCACCAACACTTGTTACTTCTTGTCTTTTTGTTAATAACCATTATAACAGATAATGAGGTGATATTTCACTGTGATTCTGACCTGTTTCCCTGATAATTAGTGATGTTGACCACCTTTTCATGTCCTCTTTGACTTTTCATGTCACTGGTATGTTCAGTTCCTCTAGCCAGTTCTTAATCGGACTTTTAAAATGTTTTTGTTCTTTATATGAGTTTTTTTTTTTTTTAACATATTTTGGATATTAGCTCCTGTCCAGTATATAACTTACAGATACTTTTATCTCATTCTATGTGTTGTTTTTCATTGTGTTGATGATTTCTTTTTCTACAGAAAATTTTTGGTTTAATGTAGTCTCACTTATTTATTTTTGCTTTTGTCAACTTTATTTTTGATGCCACATCCCAAAGAATCATCATTAACACCAGTGTCAAGGAACCTAACACCTATGTTTTCTCTAGGAGTTTTAAGTTTCTAGTTTTATGTTCAGATCTTTGACCTACCTTGAGCTAATTTGTGTATACAGAGTAAGAGAGTGGTCCATGTTCATTCTTTTGTGGTTCTGCTTTTTAACACTATTTATTAAAGAGATTGTCCTTTCTTACTTGTATGATCTTGGTTCTTTCTCATAAACTAATTGACCACATATATTTGGGTTTATTTCTGGGCTCTTTATTGTGTTCCTTTGATATCTGTGTGTGTGTTTATGACAACCCCATATTGTTTTGATTACTGTAGCTTTCTAATATAGTTTGAAATTAGTGAGGTTTGATACTTTAACTTTTCTTTCTCAGTTGCTTTGGTTAATCATATCTTTCATGGTTTCAATAATGTTTAGGATTGATTTTTCTATTTTTGTGAAAAATGTAAAGGGATTTTGGGTAAAGAGTTATTTTTTTTTTTGTGCATACAGAACTGGGGTACAGGCCAGAGGTACAGGGGCGGTGAGAGGCTTCACCAGAGACAGAGTAGGGAGTAGAACAGGCAGATTGATGAAGTACACTGCTGAGGGGAGCGGTGGGCGAGTCAGGAGAGGTCTGCTGCACCATGCGGTCACCTCTGGGGTAGGCGGGGATCGAACTCATGCCGAAGTGGCTTTCCATTCTCAGTGCTGCGCTTTAACCCACTGCGCCACCAGGGAGGGCCGACTTTGGGTAATACTAATAATTAAACTTGTATAGAAAAAGAAATGGTTGTAGCTGGAGTTAATTCATATTTTTAGCATTTTATTTATTTCTCAGGGATACTTTAGTTTTAAGAGGATAAAAGCTGTGTCAGAACCAATGCATAGATCATAAAGTATATTTCATTTGCAACTGGCAGGGTTATAGCAACATGTATTAAAAGCTGTCACTTGGACATAATTTTGTTACTAACCTGTGTAAAATAAGTAAAATAAACATCATAGTGTCTGTGAGAATTAATGAAGTAATACCGTGTGTAACACATGTGCCTATTAGCATACTTGTCATGTAATAGTAATGTTGTAAAACACTATGTAAAAACAAAACAGTGTAGATTGACTATATTTATGAAGAGAAATAATACTAACTATGACTTGAGGAGACCCCTAGATCAAATAAAACATGGATTACGAAGTTTTAGTGAGGAGGTGAGTTGCAATAATAGATATGAAAAATCATGTTTTCAGTACCCAGAAGTCTACCCAAATGTAAGAAAGAAGGATACATGAAGATATGAGAGAAGTAGCCTATTTGTCTCTTACTAATCCTTAATCCTCAATCTAATTTCTGTTTTAAGACCACTGTGTGGTCATGATGACTGCTGGAGCCGGTTATCTTGCAAGAATATAAAAAGGTGCATCAAAAAGAGGCTGCAGTCAGCAGCCTCTTACAAGGAGCCTTGGTAGATGTCCCATCAGACACCTGTGCATATATCTTAGGTATTTGGCCACACTCATCTGCAGAAGTTTTATTTGTTTTTAGACAGCCAGTACACTGAACTGAAAATTAGAATTTTTTTTCTTTTCAAGGAGCAAGATACTTAGTAAACAGCTTATAGTCTACAAATTTGGATACTTTTTGCATTGAAGAAAAGTGAGATGATGGTGATAGCTAATATTTACTCACCATTGGACTTTGTGTCAGGCATTATTTGAAATATTCTATATATATTAGTTCATATAATTCCCTCAACAATACACCAAAGAAAGTGCTATTGTAACTTCCACTATAGTGACGAGAAAGCTGAAATCACTCCTCTATTAAGTGGCAGAATCAGGTAATTCAGTTTTTGTTCTTAATTGCTGTGCTGACCTGCCTGTAAGGAAGTATTAATTTTTCCTTAAACAGTTGCCTTGGAACAAATGCAAGTGCTTAATCTGGGCTACATACTGTGCTTATGACGGTACGAAAATTATCCCATTATTCCTCATAACAGCCCTTTAAGGTACATGAAGTTCTATACCCATTACATTTTATTTTTTACTTATTTGGTTGTAGGAAATCAAACCATTTTATTGAGGAGCTTCAGGGGATGATCAGAGGGCGGGGGAGCAGGGATTTGAGATCTCCGGATCAGTTAGGATCTCCCCAGCTTTACATTTGCAGAAAAGCCTGTGTCCATCTTATAGATGAGAAAATTGAAACAGATGAAAAATAACTTGCACAAAGTCCAATAAATGGAATTCAGATTCAGCTGGTTTGACTCCAGTACCTAGATTCAACCTCTACCTGGCATTGCCCTGAGTCTGACAACCTTTTGATCCAGTAACAGTTTGGACTACATGTATGTCTGGGGTTTACTGGGGGGGCTGCAGACCTTAGTGACCTAAACACAGTCCCTCTGGATAGGAGAATAAAAGAAAATTAAAGATAACTCTAAGATTATTTATCTCAGAAAAAGGTAAATATAATACATATCTGACTATGTGTGGTGACTGTGAAGTATTTGAAAGATAAGGCTAAATTTGTTAGAAATGGCTGTGCCCCCAGGAGTCTATCTGTATAGCAGCTTGTGAACACTCTTGGTAGAGGAGAGCTTATATTTGGTTGGCAAAGAAGTCCAGTGTCTTCTCTCTTGGGTATTAACCTGGGAACTGCTATCATTCTGAATACCTCTCCTGTTGCTTTCTTTTTGCTTTTTGGTCTTCCTTCAACCTTTTTCTTATTGCCTATTGGGTTAGTTAATAGTATCTGATAGCCCCTGTAGGTCTCATTCAGTCCCATTATGCTTTTACTTACAGAGATTGTAATTTTCTTCCTTTGCTTGCCTATTTCTGGACCTTGGCATCCTTGGAGAATGGAGAGTTGCTAACACACGTGTCCTTTTTTCTCTTTACAGTCGATTGTTCTCTACTGGCTGTGCTCCAGCGTTATGGGTCTTTCACAGAACTTGCTACTTCGATCTCCTGGGTTTCGCCAATTTTGCCGAATACCATCGACTAAATTAGATTCAGACACTCCTTACAAGGACCTCTTTGCTGCCTTTTATGCCAAATTTGTTTCCAGAAAATGAGATACTTTCCAGTGGTTTTCAGACAAGTGTCACTACCACCCTATGTATTTAGAAGATTTAAAACTTCAAATCTGTTTTTAATTGCCTTTATTTAAAATCATGAACTCTGAAGTACTGTGTGTTAAGATAAAATCCAGATGTATTTTACAGTGCTTAAAATTTTTAAAGTGTTAGAAAGGTAATAATTTTTGTTGTTGTTGTTGTTGTTGAGTAAATACTGCTTTATGTCATTGTTTCCATTATAGAAGTGTAGACTCCCCTCTTCAGGCAGATTGTATACTAAGAGTATCAAAGTCTGGCTTTTTCTGGCTAGCAATGCCTGAACCTTGAGAACAGAATACTCAATGATGTTGAATGCTGTTAAATGATGTAACATTTGTAAAAAGAGTAACCCTAAGAAGTGATTCTTTAAATTTTGAATGTGTGAAAGTTCATAGATCCATTGGAGCATCTGATAAAGCTTTGGTTTCTCTTCAAAAAAACCTGAGACTTACAACATGGGAGTCTGCATTGATCCCTCTGAAGGCTTCTGGCAACTCCTGTGCAGACCTTCTATCTGATCTAACATATGTTGATGATGAGATCACATGTGATTTTTTTTTTTTTAAAGATTTATTTATTTGTGCATACAGAACTGGGGTACAGGCCAGAAGCTCAGGGGCGGCGAGAGGCTTCACCAGAGACAGAGTGGGGAGCAGAACAGGCAGATGGACGAAGTACACTGCTGAGGGGAGCAGCGGGCGGGTCAGGAGAGGTCTGCCGCGCCATGTGGTCACCTCCGGGGCAGGCGGGAATCGAACTCATGTGGAAGCGGCTTTAGCTTCTCAGTGCAGTGCTTTAACCCGCTGCGCCACCAGGGAGGGCCCCACATGTGATTTTTAAAAACTAGATTTGAGATATCTGCAGGAAAATACCTGATATGGTCAATGATGGTTTCTCAGCCTCATTCTGTGAAAGAATACAGGAAGTGTACATTCCTTTTTTTATATAATTTAAGAACGCAAAATTTCAAATTCGAGGAATGATACTTGAATCTGCAAGAATTTAGATTTCTACGTTAAAGCTAAGTATTTAAACTTTGTGCAAAGTATATGTTATGCGAAATGTAAATACAGTTACTGATGGTTACTGTAAACAAGCTTATGAGCTGATTCGACGAGAACAAAGGTAATCTGGAAATTATATGAATCTATAGAAAAATTTCCATTTGTACCTTATCTATAGATAGAGTTTAAAGTTGTAATAACTGGTATGTGTAGGTATTGTCTTTATATTATATTATTGTATATATTCAACCTTCATATATTCAATTTCATGAAATCATGGCTTGACTTAGGGAAGTTTTAGTTATGTAGCACTAAAATCATAGCTATTTATCCAAAACATTTTTGATATGTGTATAACATTTGCACAAGTAAGAATTTATATATTCATATAAGTTCATATATATGCATCTATACATATGTGTAAAACATGTATATGAACATTTTTATCCATGAACATTGAAGACAAACCTAAAGATGCTGCATTTACAGGAATTATTTGCTAGTCATAGAGCATCCATAGACTACGGAGATACCAACTATCTATACCTTGACCCATAAAGTAAGTGAAAAACCAGTTTTGGGGTAAAGCTAATGCTAATTGGAAGAATCCTTTAGATCTGTAATCCTGGATATGACAAACGTAACATTAAGTGGTCTGAAGATCTGAAACATTGTATAATTCATTCATAACTTGGAAAAGGAGAAAATTTTAAAAGCTTGAAAGATCAAGATAGTATTTAGCAAATTTTAAAAATACCAAATATATGAAAATATATTCATTTTTATTACTAGACATTAATAAGTGAAGAATTAGTTTATTCGGGAGAAAGCACATATATGAATCTTTTACTTATAATTCTGTATTCAGTCATAGAATGCAAGTAGATCACGTAATTGAAATTAAATTATGCAGAATTCTGGAAACAGCTGTTGAAGTATTTGCCATCATCTAGCAGCTGAAGATCACAACCTTTTAGAAGCTTGAACTATCAGCTGTTAAAAAGCCAACAACAAAGCAAACTGAAATAATTGAATCAAACTGTTCGTCAGATAAGTAATAGCCACAGAAAGGGAATACTTCGGTGACTTTTGAACAAATAATGACTGCACATCAGTCAAAACCACGTTCAAATTTTAAAATAAAACATCTCTCTCATCTTTCAGTTACATGTTAATGTTATTTTACCTTAAAAATACAGCCAGTTCACTCCATATTTGTATTTGTAAATTCACCTACTAGAATTCCTTTGTAAAATATAAATGTCAACAGACAAACATGCACATGCGCAGAGTAGCACCACGACTGTTGAATATGCTCACTCCTGGCCGAGATCAAAGTGAGGTTCTGTCTGCTTCACTTCTCATTCTGTAAGCAGATGCCCTTCTTGTGGTTAGTGTCACGTTTTCCTCATCCTGGTACTTTTTGTTAATTTCTTGGTTTAAAATGACCCTAAGTCCTCAAGTACTAAAGGCAGGAACGCTGTGCTGTCCCAACAGAAAATAAATGATTAGCTAAGCTTTGCTCAGGCATGAGTGACAGTTCTGATGGCTGCAAGTTCAATGTTATGACTCAACAATATATAGTAAACAAATGCAAAGGACAAGGTTTTGTTTTGATTTGCCCAGAGCCTTAGAGGAACCTTATTCCCTGTCATGCCGTTGATGCAGTCCACAGTAAGTGTTCACAGGGACGTCGTAAAACAAAACTACCACAAATAATGAAGTTGACAGTACTTCAACCTGTGCCCAGTGCTGTTGCATGCAGATGATAATTTAAGGCAATCTTCAAAGTATGACCCTTGGGCCAAATTCAATTCACTGCCTTTTTTGGGTAATGCCTAGCATGAATTGAACACTACTCCTTCAGCGCCTTCCTGAGTGCTTTTCATGCTTTAATTCATTATTCCTTGTAAGAATCTGGTAAGTTAGGGCCTGTAGTAGGTCCCTACTGACTGAAAGTAAGAATAGTTTTATATGGCCTTTACATTTCAGTATCCTTAGAGAAACTTTTCTGGGACACAGCCCATTTGTTTACATGATATCTGGCTTTGGCTGCAGAGGTGGGTTGTTGTGACAGACACTGCACCCAGTGTTTCACGCTCTGCTCATCCCACAGGGGACAGCAGTGAAGCAGCTGGAGCTCCACCCATTTTGAGGGCCTTGTGTATATTCCTGCTGCAATATTTTATTTTTATCACCAGTCCATACCCACTCAAAATAAGAAAAAATAGATTTTAAATGTGCTTTAAGACTCAGTAGAGTGGATTACTTTGAATTAAATGGCAAAATATTGTGTTATGCAATAACGCTATAACTGTGTTAGAAACATCCTGCGTATGCCAACATTAGCAAACATCACAATATCCCTGGTGTCTTTGTGAATCCTCATTAGCACGTAGGCAGTGTAAAGGCAGGGACAGTGTAAGTTGCGGGCTTTGAAACCTTAAGCAGAGCGCATGAAAGATACTGGATGTATTCTTTAATGAACAAGATGGTAATATCTAGCATGAATTGAACACTACTCTGTCAGTCCCTTCCTGAGTGCTTTTCATGCGCTTGCTCGTTAGTCCTTTCAAGAACCTGGTAAATTAGGGGCTGTAATAGGTCCCAACTGACAAGTGAGGACATTGAGGCTTAAGTATCTTGCCCAAGGAAATCAGTAATAAGTAATTGAGACTAGGTTTGAAATCACATCTCTAACTTTTAGCTTCATATCACTTAGTCCTAAAATGGGGAGGGAGGGAAGATACTGGCCCTGGGAAGGAGTATTAACCAAGTTATGTGGGAATTAGGGACAGGAAGACATGGAGCTGAGATGTTTGGGATTTTTTTTAATGGTAATTTAACTCAAAGCATCTGTTATTGGTCTAAATATTTGTGTCTCCCCACCCCACCGCACCATTCATTCATTGAAATTGAATCCCCATTGTGTGGTATTTGGAAGCGGGGCTTTTGGGAGGTGATAAAGTCACAACAGCGGAGGCCTCCTGAGTGGGATTAATGTCCTAAAGAGACCCTGGAAAACTCCCTTGTCCCCTTTCACCATCTGAGCACACAGATTGAAGATGGCCATCTATGAGCCAGCAAGTAGGTCCCTGCAGGCGCTTTTCTTGTGTCCTGCCTGATTTTGGATGTCCAGCCTATAAAACGGAGAGAAATACATTTCTGTTGCTTATAAGCCACCCCATCTGCATGTTCTGTCACGCTGGCCCAAATATACTAAGATCAAATATCAATTGGTGAAGATCAAGATTAGGAAGCTATCATCCCTAGGCTTCTTCAAATACGTAAGAGTTTAATTAGAACATTCTGTCTGAGACAAATGAAGATATCTGAACTTTGAACTGGTCTGAAATATTGAAAATGAATGTGGATTTTTTTTTTTTACTTTTAATCATGCTTGGATATTAAAGATACGCACACAGATTTACCAATAGCATCTTCATTTCAGTGTTGTTAAGCTAGAGCAAACCGTAATTTTCCTGAAAGGGAATTGATTACATTTTCTTAACCCTATAATGAAATACTGTGTACATATTAGCAAGGATGGCAGAGAAGGTAATTAATGACAGGGGAATATTCCTGACATAGTTATTGGAAGGAAAAAGGTTATGTAACCGTGCCACGATAAAAGCTTACATATATGATAAACTACACAATACAAATAGTGATATTTTCAAAGTGTTAAGTTAGTGGAATTTCTCTGTTTTTTTTCTGAAGTTAAAATTTCTTTAGTGAAGCCTTACTTTTGTCATCATTCATAGTGTTGTCCCACACAACTTTTTAAAGACACCTGCTTGAATAAAGCAAGAACCTATATAATTGTTTTAACTAAGAGTATGTTTTTCTTGGCCCTCCCTGGTGGTGCAGCAGGTTAAAGCGCAGCACTGAGAAGCCAAAGCCACTTCAGCATGAGTTTGATCCCCAGCCCTGAAGGTGACCACATGGCGCGGCAGACCTCTCCTGTCCCACCCACTGCTCCCCTCAGCAGTGTACATCGTCACTCTGCCTGTTCTGCTCCCCACTCTGTCTCTGGTGAAACCTCTCACCACCCCTGCACCTCTGGTCTGTACCCCAGTTCTGTACGAATAAATAAATATTTAAAAAAAAAAGTATGCCTTGAACAAATACAGTTTTTTAAATTTTTACTTTTTTATTTATTTTAGAACATGTAGTTTTTAATGATTGATGTGATGATTGAAGTGACTAGGTGAACTAAAAAGGATATCACAAGTTAATGATCTTAGTATCACTGGAGAGAGAACTCAACTGGATAATTTTAAAGATTTAGTTACTTATGCATACAAGCACTAGACTGTAGGCCAGAGGTGCGGGGTGTGGGGGTGGGGATGAGAATATTCACCGGAGACAGAGTGGGGAACAGAACAGGCAGATCAACGAAGTACATTGCGGAGAGGAGCAGCGGGCGGGTCAGGGGAGGTCTGCCACGCCATGTGGATCACCTCCCTGTTGGGGATTGAACTCATTTCATAGTGGCTGGCAGCAGCCTAAAAACACTGCTCTAGCCCCTGCACCACCAGGGAGGCCCTCAACTAGACTTTGAATTGACTCATATTCACTGACATGCAAGAACCAAATTTA